GCCTTTAGGCTAAATTAGGCTAGGCCTATATGCCTATAGTAGGTAGGCTAGGCCTAGGCCCTACTTAGCCTAGGGCCAAGCCTAGGCCTAGGCTTTCAAATGCATATCATTTCGGTTGCGCCTCACTTCGGTCGAGCTTCATTTCAGGTTGTGGTTCATTTCGAGCAAATATGGAGTGCCAATGGAGTTGCTAAAACGTAAAATCTAATAATATTATGCCTAGGCTAGTAGGTACCTGACAAGAAAATTCAAACTTTATGAAACAGATTGACTCATTCATCAAAAAATTTGAAATCAAATAATTGGAATATTGTTTGTCAATAGCCTTCATGAATCTAATTAATTAACATTTGCTAATTTTCAGGTTAGATGACATAATTTGGCATCAAGGATTTAATGGGTGTGGAAAGGGGAGGGGGGACCAGATGGGTGGGGAGGGGGTATTGAGCTGTTTCCGTTTTCAAAAGTGCCCCCCCCCCCCCACAACCAGCATATTGTTGGAGAGCACTTTTCTTATAGAATTGGATTTTACTGAGTTAGCACTAATTGTACCTTGTGTTTTTATGACAATAAAAGATCTGTATCTGTATCTTCATTAATCAGATCTGGAGTGGGTGGGGGAAGCAAAAAAAAAACATTAATCTACCAGCCTAGGTACCACCGCACGCTCTGATATGCCACATTACAAAATGACCACCCAAGCTAATAATGTTAAAATCATCAAAAATCACTATAATCTTTTAGAAACAAGAGCATAATTACAAGTAACAAATAGCATATAATGTACCAATATTACATGCTATATCTACTATTTATAATATATTTGGTGTAAAAATACTAGGTATTTTTCATTCGATCCGTGATCAGCGCTCACACAGCTAAAAGCCTATTCTTTAACACTACACAGAATAATACCACAAAGTGACTACAAAATGGAGTTGGAATCCCATGGCCAAATTGCACTTTCCCATGCACCAATTTTTCTAAATCTTGGTCAAATGATGCAATATAACATACTAATTATGGACCTTATTATCAAAATAATGGACGCATTTTAGTTTAATGAAAAATAAGCATGTTTTACGATCGTCAATTTTCGAATGTTGCAAACCTCGATATAACATCGGACAAAAAAAATGGAAAAATAACACAGCTGTAGAATAGCTTCCGCTTGACATTTTGAGATCAAAACTTTAGCACTAACCAATCAAAACCGTAATTTTACGAATTAATTACTAACAGCTATGCTGGGCCTGGTTAAATTCCAGGGAGTTGTTATAGTGACCATAATAACTCACTGGAAATTCCAAACATACAAGTGACTATAACAACTCCCTTCAAATTCCAAACATACGAGACAGGATGAAGACTTAGTCCTAAGCCTAGCTAGTGTATGCCGGTGTTATCCTCCGTGCCAAAATTTGGTATGAGTTGTGAGTATAAGTCAATTGTGACATCCTCACTATTTTCCTATCCCAAACAGTGCACTAATTTTTCATTGCTGCACAGGTTACTCAACCCTTTCTCGATTCATGGGCAAAAGGTCAAAACAACTTGTACAAGGTATCGCTCACTGTGATGCATTCTATATTCTTGCAGGCCCTCAAGTTTTTTCATGCAATAATCTAAACTTTGTAATAATTTATACTAGCGTGTGATGCACAACTATACTATAAATTGCTTAAGTGTTAGGTATAGATACTGTAGATTGAAAACTTTGTTTAATATTCTGAATACTCAATGACTAATTAATTAGTAAGATATCTGTTATCTTAAATTTTAAATATCAAATTTTAAACAATTTTCCTTATAAATTCATTGATTGATTGATTTCATTTATCTGTTTTCAGGTTGCTATGGAGACTCTTACAAGCTTTGAGAATTATGAAGATGAATTTGTTCCTTCAAGTCTTACTGATGACCAAACACATCGGTCAACTGGAAGGCATACATGGTTCACATCTACTGCTGAACAAGACTATGATAGTGATCCAGAATATTGGTCAAACAATGAAGATGTTTCACTTGTTGAGTAAGTGTCATTTGATTTTAGTATTATTGATTGGATGGATATTCATAAAATCCAAAGTTTAACAAATTTACAAGCCTGACACTGAAAAACTCCACCTCCACAGGGGTGGGAGAAGTGTAGTCTTTCTCCCTGGAAATGTTTTTTCCTACAGTAGGTACCTGGAAATGCATTCTCTGCCACTAGGGCTAATATTTTTACTAACAATCTACATACAGTATTCCGAAAGCTCCATTTTTTCCTGAGAATGAGAACAAGTTATTGAGCATCACAATGATTTTAAGAGCCATGTGCTTGGCAGCTTTTAGGTGTTTCTTGATCAATAACATTCACAGTATATAAGAATCTGAAGGGAATTGCATGTTTTGTGAAAGCTAAAATAGGTCAAGGCCAAGGGCGTAGCCAGCGAGCATTTCTAAGTCGTTTAACACATGCACATGGCTCCGCAAATACAGTAGTTGAGATTCGGTTCCCCGAGATATCATTCTTGTTCGTAACTCCCTGGTTATAGTAATTCATGAAATACGGTAAAGCAGATTTGTTGTTAACATCACAAGTTAAATTTTAATAGTCAACAAAATATAGTAGGCCTAGGCCTATACATCGCTCGATTCGGAGGATCTAGCATAGAATTTACACTAGACTAGAGCCAGAGATGAAGATGCATCTGATAGCCTAGAAAAATAATAAAACTTCATTCTTAATTTTCTATGCATCCTTTTTCCTCAGTCATGCTGATACCACCAGTGGCCGAGCAAGTGAAAATCTTCAGTCAAGCAAACAGAAGTTTGGGCGTCAAGAGAAACTGCGAATGATAGCAATGCGAAGACATATCGACTTCCTGTCAGAGAAGTTAATGGATAAAGAAGATTCTGTAGCTGAAATAAGGTAAAAATACAGTTTTTATTAGTTTCCTTATGACAGAGCTTGATTGAAATATGATTAGTCATGCATTTTTACAATGCTGCCTACTATCCCAGAAACAGTGGAGATTTGAGTTTGCATCATCAACAATAGTATTTGGTAATATCAGACTTGCTTCATTACAAAGATACCACATCTCAGGAATATTGGACTTTAAGATGTATTGTACCCTCACAATGCTATCAACTCAGGAATGGTGATGGATGGAATTAGTTTTCCATCATCACATTAATATTCGACCATCTCTAAACACTGTCTAGATTTTCAAATTTTATTTGACAAAAACATGTGAGATGCCTAAATATGGTCATGATGACATCACACAATGACCATATACAGGCACATCATGACTAAATATGGGCATACAAAGAAAATTTAATAAACTTGGTAATCTTGACAGAGTTTTAGATGGTGAAGATTGAGTCATGATGGAGTTTCAGTCAGTCTTGCACCATCAATATATGCGACTACCTTCTGATGAATGGTGAAAATTGGGTTTGCCTCCATTAAAGTATTTATAATACAACCTACAGTAATAAAGTAATTGTTAGACCGAGGTTGTCTTGCACCATCACAGTGCTGCTACCTAATCAGGAATGTCTAAAAGTGAGTCAGGCTATACACCATTACAATCTGTTACAATCTCAGGAATGGTTGAGATTGAGTTGTCTTTCACTGCTGCTACAATCCAAGGAGTGGTCGATATAAAATTATGAACATTAACATTCAAAATTCTGCTACCATCTCAGGAATGGTAGATACTGAGTCAGTCTTTTGCCATCATAACACTTTTGACAATATCTACAATAGTGGAGACTCAGTAGACCTTCCACCACCACATTTTCTCAGGAACGTTTAAGATAGAATCAGTCTTTACCATCACAAATGCTCACCATCTGAGGTACAGTATAGTGGCAATTAAGTTTGTCTTTCACCACGAAATTGTTTAATTTGCCTTTTTTATTTTAATAATTATTTTATGGTTATTCATCTTTTCTTTACAGATATGAGTTGGAGAAATGTCGGACAAAGATTGAGATGTTGGAATATGAGCGTAATCATGTGTTTGATCAGATTGAAGGATGTGAAGCCGAGGGCAACATGGCCAATGTCTATCGTCTCCAATCAAAGCATGAAAAACTCTGCCTTGAACTGGAGGCTGAGGAGAATTTGGAAAAAAAAATTACAGTCGGACTTGATAAGGCAGAGTAAGGCAAACCTTTATCCATTGTTTTTAAATACTCAAGTTTTTTGTTGTTGGTTATTTGTTGTTTCCTTTCCACTAGGAGTCGACTAACTTCTCCACTTTGGCTGTTCAGTATATTGCTTTTACTAGTTGTTTCCATACTAGTCATTTCTTGGGAAGTTAGTTCAGTTGTGTTATGATATGATTATTTTCCAAATTGACATCTTGATACCAATCAAAATTTGCAGACTTTACCTAGCCTAGGTTATTACCCTTGATTACTCTCATTCTCGATTACCAATGTGCTTCCTTAAAATAGGTGTTCATCAATCTTTGTGTTTCATTTAATTGTCCTTTGGCTACTCCTTGGCCAGACATCATTTAGATGCTACTTTATCGATGCTTAGAATTCTACAGTATGCTGTATGCTTAAATTGTAATGTGGATATCAAAAACTTTATACTGTTCTAGTATTGTCATGACCAGGGCTGGAAAAAGTGCACGACCACGCGACCTGCAGTCGGAGGCAACATGAATGTCCCAGAGGCATTTTGGGGGGAAAAAATACAAAAAAATAAACTATCGGGCTATATAGTTTACAGATAACATTTGGTGATGGAGGCATTTTATCGAGACAATTTTTATGGTCAAAGGCACAAACATTTTTTTTAGGCTTGGCCATGACATCACTTTTTAGTCTTTATAATTTTAAATTTTACTTTCTTTGTACAGTATGTATTTAAATTTGATTTTGTATATTTAAGTTTTTTCATTTTATTTGTATCTTTCTTGCAAAAACGGCCTTGTGAAAAACACGAGTATGGTGATACAAATTTTTTTTTTCCGTTTTAAAATAAATTTGTTATTAGTATTATTATTATTATTTAATTAGTATGCTTGAAACATTTATTTAATTATATTTTATCACATAGATGGATGGATGTATGGATGGATTTTAAATAAAAAAATTAAAAATTAAAATGAAAATTAAAAATAATTAAAATAAATAAATATGAACTTTGGTTGCTTGTATTTTTTATATCTAAATATATAAAATATGAATAAATTTAGATTTTTTTTTTTTTTTTAAAGGTTGGAGCTTGCTGAAATTGAGTTAGAACAAGGAAAGTACTTACTGATTGAGGATGATTTAAAGAATCAAGAAGAGAAAGTAGAGATGGATAGAACAGAACAAGCAATTAAAAGAGTAAAAAAGGAAAAACTACAAATACAGTTGGCAGAGAAGAGAAGGAAGAATTCAGAGATGTATGAAAACTTAAGTACTCAATTTTGTTTTATGATAAATGCAAAAAAAGAAAAAAAAATAGTGTTATATTTTTGGAAATTAGTATTTTTCAAGCTTTAAATTGAAATCTCATCTATGAATTTTAGCTCTTTGGTTACCATTTTTTCAGCTAGAGTGCATTGGGTAGGGGATGGTTAAACACATAGAATACAAATAGAAACCTAGGATTATAGAAAAAAAAAAATATGACCAATCAATAGTGATTTCCAGTCAGAACATGTTAGCCAGGAATAAGTGAATGTCTCACAAGCATGCAAGTTTACAATTGTTGACACTGTTTAAGATATTCCACACTAGAGAGCCACAATTTTAAAAGGCCATACCGGAAAAGTTCATACCTGAAACACACAACAAACTTGCTAAGCATATGCTTTATGTTAGGGTTGTGTGTAATACACCTTTGCCAAATTAGGTTACGTATTCATCGCAGTCAGTCTATTAGCTAGATTACGCAAGAAGCAATGTGAGGATCATCCTAAAATTTACTGTAATTGTACATAATATTTGAAGAAACAGTTGATGAAATTTTGGGAAGAAAAGGTCAGTGGACAATTTCAAGGTCACAGAAATTCGATTTTTTACCTCAAGCGTAAAAGAAAATAATGGAATAGCTACATGGCCTGCATTTGTTTGGTATTCACTCACAGGGTAGAAAATAATGGAATCACCCTTCATACACAGCCTGCGTATTGTTCGGTATTATGGCACAGGGCAGAGGTATGCACTTAATGGGATGTCTGCTCTAGTTTTAATTTATATTTAAAATATCTGCATTATCACTTCAGTTTAATTTTATGTTTTATACTTATGATTTAATTATATACACCTGTATATA